TTATACTATCAGTCACATTTTCTGCTAAAAACAAAACCCCAGACCATGCCTAGGGGAATTCATCTTTCTGACTACAAAGATGCCATCAAAAATAAATTGTTTCCATTTTTAAAAACTTCAGTTATTAAAAAAAAGATTATGATGTCTTCTGGGCAGGGGACATGTCTTCCTGTGTATGTACAGTGTCTAGCACAGTGGGGCCTTGCTCCTTATCAGGGCCCGTAAGAGCTACTGAAGTACAAATAGCAAAATGCTCAAATGGACTAGTTCTAGTGAAATTCGTAACAGATAAAGTCCTTTCTGCTTCTCAGGATGTATACACATGCAAAAAGTGTTCTGTGAGTACAGTTGAGAGAGTATAAGACAATTAAAGGGACAACACTTAATTGCCAAGAAAAAATAATCCTTTAAAAATGTCATCCCTGTAGTCAGATATATTAAACAATTCCAGTGTCATTGGTGAGATTTTATATTAGCTCTGTTTTATATCACTTTCCACTTACATAACTGTCAAATAGAGCTTGTTTATACTGGGTGGAGTCTTTTTGTTTTTATTTTCAAACCAAATATGCAGGAAGATGAAGAAGCAAAATAAACAACAGTAAACAGAGACAAGTGGAGAGTTACTTTCAGAGACTGGGGTTTAGGACCTATTTGTTAATTATGCCCTGATTCTGCAAACACATGCTTAATTTTAAGCATGAATAGTCCTGTTTGCGGCAATGTATTTCAGTGGGAGTACCCATGTATATAAAGTTAAGCAAGTGTGTAAGTACTTGCAGTATTGGGATCTATACATTCTGTAACATAATTCAGTAGGTTTGTTCCAGTGTAAATAATATAGGAGTGAGCGTTCAAATTATGACTTGCTTTCACCAGGATTGCATCTGATAGAAATGCCTCCAGCAGCTATTCTTTTATACAGTTATCTGTGTCAGTGTCCTATCCAAAACAAAGGCAAACTGGTGAAAAATGAACTACAGTGAGAAAATGCAGGGCAGTCATTCCCATCTTTGCATTGGTGTGTGATTATTGTTTGTTTTTTTAGAGTGTAAGTTGTTAGCACTTACCTAAAGCAGTGAATTAGTTTCTATGCTGTGTCCTCTACATGGATGTCCTTGTATTGCTTGTTGTCATTACTCAAACTGAAGCTGTGACACTAACCCTGCCAGCCAGGGAAAAAAGCCACACACAAAGGCAACGCAAGCCAGTACCAGTTTAAATCAGGCAAGCCTAGTGGGGTGGAAATGACTTCTGTTGCATAAAGTATATTTACTGGTAAACACACAATGATTTGGTAATGTAAATACAAAATTAGCACAACACCTTTGGATATATTGTAGTGATGCTTTAACAAAAGAAGACCTTCAGAAATGAAAGAAAATATAAAACAATCCAACAGCTTTCTAGCACTAGAAATTTAGGATGTATCCAATCTATATGAAATGTTTAATATGCTACTTTAATATTCATGCTTGATATGATTACTTTATATATACCAAAGTAATTATCAACCTGAAGTATTCTGAAGCACACTGTAAACTGTTCAACAAAGGCATCACTTTATCCAGCACTAAAATGCAGACACCTCAGCTGTTTGCAGCACATCACAACTCTGCACCACCACTTAGGAAAGGGTTTGAAGAATTCACTTTTCCAATTGAAATTGCAGGATGAATTTAGATTAGCAAACACATTCTGCATGAGCTTAAATCCGTCCACAAAAACTGTATTAACACTTCTGCTCATACTAGGTGTGCCATCTAATTGTTAATAATAGTACTTAGTTCATACAGAGTTCACTTTTCTTCTCTAGAACTCAGATCCTCAAAGATATTATATCTTTGAGCGTCTGAGCCTAGTTTACTAAAGTTCACTACATATGTACATTTGTATAGATAGGATAAAGGAAGCACAGAGAGGTGATGTGACTTGTGCAAAATCATAACAGGTAATGTTAGGAACACGACCCAAGGTTTTCTGACGCTCTGTCTGCTGGATAATACTGCCATAAGCAATCAAGACCTACTGTAGGTTTGTCTCATTGGAAAAAAGCATCTCCAGCAGCAGTGCCCTAATATCATGATTGATAGATTCTAAGGCTAGAAGGGACTATTGTGATCACCTAGTCTGATTTCCTGTGTAACACAAGCTGTAGAATTTTCCCATAATAATACCTACAGCATCTCTTTTAGAAAAACATCCAATCTTGATTTAAAAATGGTCAGTGATGGAGAATCCACCATGACCCGCGGTAAACTGTTCCAATGGTTAATTACTCTCACTGTCAAAAATGGACACCTTAATTCCAGTCTGAATTTGTCTAGCTTCAACTTCCAGCCATTGGATTGTTATACCTTTCTCTGCTAGACTGAAAAGTGTATTATTGAATGTTTGCTCCCTAGGGAGATACTTATAGACCAGGGGGTCCCAAACTTGGTTCGCGGCTTGTTCAGGTTAAGCCACTGGCAGATGCTTTGTTTACCAGAGCGTCCACAGGTACGGCCACTCACAACTCCCATTGGCGGGAACGGCGAACCATGGCCACTGGGAGCTGCGAGGGGCCATACCTGCAGACTTTCAGCGGCCCGCCAGGGGCTTACCCTGAACAAGCCACAAAACAAGTTTGAGAACTCCTGTTACAGACTGTGATCAAGTCTCCCCTTAACCTTGTTAAGCTAAATAGATTAAGCTCTTTGTGTACGTCTACACTGCAATAAAATACCTGCAGCTGGCTTGTGTCAGCTGACTTGGCCTAGGGCTAAAGGCCTAAAAATCTGAAGTGAAACATTCAAGATTGGGCTGGAGCCTGGGCCCCTGTGATGAGCGTCCCCAAGCCTAAGCTTGAGACCAGGCTCTAGCCCAATGCCTACACTGCAATTTTATAGCCCTGCAGCCCAAGTCCTGAGAGTGCAAGTCAGCTGGCACGGGCCAGCCACCAGTGTTTTACTGCAGTGCAGACATACCCTTTGAGTCTATCACTATAAGGCACTTTTTAAATCATTCTCAGTGCTCGTCTCTGAACCCTCTCCAATGTATCAACATCCTTCTTGAATTGTGGGCCAAATACAGAGGTAAAATACATGTCCAACAGGAGCAGAGAGATTATGTTAAGGATATTGATTTAGACTCCATACTAACTCAAGGGGTCAGAGTGCCTCTAACATTACTTCCTGTAGCACCCCTATTCTCCTTGGAAGATTCCTAAAGAATTACTGACCCAGTCAAACTGGGCATAAATTTGGGAAACTGAACAGGACAATAAAGCGGTTGCAGATGTAAACCGTTCACAAGTGTTCTTTAGCACTGGCTTGTGTGTAAACTCCCGAGGCCCTAGGATGCCCGATAAAATGAGCAGAAATAAGGGTTATATTTTTGCTTTGACAGCTGACTTGTCCCCCTCACCCCTTCCTCCCTGTTGAAGGTAGCAGTGTGGGGAACCTCCTACATCCGCTGCTCTATAATTCACTGTATAATTGACCCTGTAACTCAGCAAACAGAATTCAGTGCCCCCTTTCCTGGAAGCTAATGCAACAGAACCTTTCAGGGAGTGAAATGGGGTGGATATAGTTTAATCAACATCCCCCCTCCTCACAAGAGTAAACTAAAGTGGCAACCTGCTGCCCAGCATTCAACACAATAGGGCGCACAGAGAGGCTCTGGGCATCAGCTAGGAATGAGCCTAGGTCTCTTTATTTAAAGCACTCTTGTCCCTTCTGTCCTTCTCCCCCAGAGCTCTTGGCTGAGGGCTAAGTCCCTTTGTGTCCCCACCCCCTACAAGCATCCCCTCCTATTCACTGGCTGCCAGTTTGCCACGGCTCCTTTCAAGGTCGCAGTGGCGTCTGTAGGTGACAGATTCACCACTTGCTGCCCTGAGGAGCTGCAGCCGCTGCCCCTAGCCTCTGCTGCATCCCCGTGCGCGGCCCTGGCACGGCGGCAGCTGCCTGCTGCTGCCCAGGCGGATCTGTGCGCTCCCTGCCCCCGCACCAGCCGCCAACCCCCCTCCTCCCCAGCACACCTGCTTTCCCCGTTGTCTACGGTTTTCCTAAGCGGGGGAATTTTCCCTCACTCCCTTGCCGCATCCCTCACACTCGCGCGCACCCCCAGCCCGGCACTGAACACACACACACACACACGTTTTGGATCAGAGGCGGCTGTTTCTCCAGCGCCCCTAAGCCGGCTCCGCTCGCTGCCGCTGCCCCGCGCCGCCGCCGCTCGCCGGGGCTTCCCGCCGCCACGGGGCGTCCTCCGCCCGCAGCGCTGCAGGCTCCGGCGGCCGGGCTCGCGCTCTGCCCGGGACGGGGTGGGGGCCGCGCGGCGCCGGCCGAGGGGGAAGGGGCCGCGCCGCGCCCCGGCAGCTCCGCACGGCCAGCAGGTAGGGAGCGTAGGGGCGGGCGGCGGCGGCGGCAGGAGCAGCATCCCCCGGGCTGTGCCGCTTCCCGCGGCTGCCTGGTCCCCCCGCCCGGCTGGGGGGGGGGGGGGGAAGCGCTGCCGTGCGGGGGCGGGCGCGGGGGCCGGGCAGAGGGGCTCGCCGCTCCCCCGCTTTCCAGCGCCCATCCGCAGCTGCTGCCGGCTCTGCCTCCTACCACCCCCCCACCGCCCCCCGCCAGCCTCCACGCCGGCATCCCTCTGGGTGCGTGTCCCTTCCTCAGCAGCGCCCTGGCCGCCGCCTCCCCTCCCCCTCGGCAAGCCTAGCCGCTGGTCCCCGGGGAGTCAGAAAGTTTGTTCGCCTCTCCGGGGGGGGGAGGGGGGGAGCATTTTTCTTTTGGCAGCCGCAGGGCCGGGCTGGTGCCTCCCAGGCTGCTGCTGGCACCGGGAGTGGGGGTGGGGGACCCCCCCCCAACTCCCGGGCCGGGCTCATTCCTCCTCCCCTCCCCACCCCACCCCACCCAACCTGTCTGGGCATCCCCACCTCGCACGCGTGGTGCCGACAGCGCGCAGGGCCCCTGCGGCCCCACGCCTCCTGCCCACCCACCCTGTAGGTCGGGCGCCCGGGGCTCCCTCTTGCTGATTGGCTGGAGGGGCAAACTCTTCCCAGCCCTCCAGCCTGGGGAGCCTGCGCTGAGGAGCAGCATCACTGGACCCTGGGTGAAGCCATCCCTGGAAAGTCTCTCTCTGCAGTTTCCAGGACAGTTTGGTTGTAACTAAAGAGCAACTGTACTAGGTGACTGGTTTTCTTTTTTTTCTTGGTCCCTTGGGTGATTACTTAAGACAGGTTTCAGAGTAGCAGCCGCGTTAGTCTCTATCCTCAAAAAGAAGAGGAGGACTTGTGGCACCTTAGAGACTAATAAATTTATTTGAGCAGGAAAGCTTATACTCAAATAAATTTGTTAGTCTCTAAGGTGCCACAAGTCCTCCTCTTCTTTCTACTTAAGACAGGTTTCGCTGAAGTTGGAAATGACACAACATGGGTGTGCGGCCAGTCAGGGGCAGAGAGACCCTTAGGTAGCTCTTAAACAATATCGCTTGTGGTAGAGTATTCTGCCTCTTGGCAAGGGGATGGATTTGGTGAGCTAGGTCTTGTCCGTCTCTAATTTCTCTGTTCCCATTGCGAGGGTTAGTTTATTGTTGTGTGATATGGAGAGAGCTGTCTTGCATGTCACTCTTATTCTTAATTTTAAATGTACATTGGTAATGACTGTCGGGCTCTTTAAGGAGAGAGTAGACATTAGAATAAATTCAACTCTGGGCTGAGGAGAGAAGGAGCTCTGAGATCATCCCTATGATTTGTGTATTTTATATGCTGTATTACTTTTAATAGCAGAAGTTCCATTGTACTATGTCAAAGCTTTGATGAACATACCTCGTTCATTTTCTCTCAAATTTTAATGCAACAAAAAGATAATATGCATGGATAAATTAAAAAAAAAATTGAAAGGCCTTCGAAATACTATGTGTTGTGTAGGATGTGAAATTTCAGGTGTGCATGATAGAGGTACAGCTACTCCATAGGTTTTATTTAAAATCTTTCTTTGAGGCTATATCTGTGCATACATATATTCATCTGTCACTTTATTTCTAAGTATGATAGGCTCTGATTCCATCATGTTCTGATGATGCCATCACAGGCACCCACATTGTCTGGCAATAACAATCTTTTTAATTCCTTGTTTAGGAAGCTTTGATAGTGCAAAAATGTGACATTTTTACTGTTAGAATTGTTGTTTGCAATTTTAGATACAGTATCCTGCATTATCTTTTGTTATACTGGACACAGGAGCAACCTTACTTAGACTTCTATGTATCACGCTAAGCAATAATTGTTACATAGATAAACGGAAACCCCAACATGAGTACGATCTGAATAGCAAAATTCCCTCCAATCCGAATTATAAACTGTGTGCCTCTCTTGTTCCCACATTCTATTATGTGTAATGTATACAGAACTTTACAGTGTACAATAATGCCTCCCCTTTCTGCTTTAGAGTTTTGTTCCACTTGGAAAATGATATATGATATTCTTTGACAAGTTATGAAAAAATATCGATATGATTGCAAAAAATGATTGTGTTTGTGTGTGTATTTTAGTCGAGTACTTAAATTAGCCTGTTTTCGTTGTCCAGGGATGTTTGAATCTTTTTTCTTTAATAAGTTTTAAAAAGGCTTCAAGAGATTCTTTATATTCTCTCTCTCTCTCTCCATATTTCTCTTAGTCTTTATTTTTCTCATACATAATAAATTAATAAGTGACCTCTGTTAAATTTTAGAAAGCATTATTGCCAGGCAAACTGGGCAATAGATCATGAAATCAGACAATAGTATTTTGTTCCCTAGCAACCACCTACGGTGAAAAGAAAACAAAGCGATGGTGGATGCTTCCAAATCATGATAGTCATCGATCGAAACCCGAAAGCAGGTGCAGAACTACAAGTGACACTTGCTCCTGTTCATTTTCTTTTAAGCTGCTTTTTAAATTTTCCACTTTAGCAAAAAAGGGATTTACTTTGTTTTGCAATTAAACAATTAAAATTTCACTCAAATGCTTGTAGCTTGACAGTGCTGCATGTTAGAATAAAAGGACAGAAGACTGGTAATAACTGGAGTTTTTGCAAATAACAATTCTAAATAGTTTTTAAAATATTTTTATCGCTGGTTTTTATAATAAAATATTACTAGACCTGTAAAAATCTGACTTAAATCTATTTATTACCCACTGTAACTACTGTGCAATATTTGTTGGATATTATAGGAATGAAAAAGAAGTATAGCATGTGCTCTGTCCACTGTATTTATTACAATTTAACATTTCTTTAAGTGACAGAAAGTCTAGTAAGTAAAACCTGTGTTGCCTCAAGGTCTTTTGGCCCATTGAAATCAATGGATAAACTGCCACAGTGGGTGCTAAACTATTATTCTTATAAAAGTTATTTTGATAATGCAATAATACCCCTAATTTAAGACTATAAACACTGAAATGAAATCTTGACACGGGGCCATATTTTAATCTTAAATGCACTACGTGCGTTGCCGTCTACCTGAAAAAATCCATTATTGCATGTTGTAAATCTAACCCAGTATCTGTGCTGCTTGCCTATCAGTTTACAACTTTTTAATAAGCCTTAGTGCTCAAAATTCTGGTGGTGATATTGAACTATGGTAACAAAGGGACTTGTATAGTTTAATGTGATGAGGAGTTTGTGCATTATACTTCTTGCTCCTGTCCCGCTGTAGTAGAATGTTACTCTGAGTGGCCTCTTCCTGGGTGCCCCCTTGTGGCCTCAAGACAATCCTGCAAGCAGCCCCTCACTTCAGTTTCCCCTCTTAGTTCCTCAATAACCCCTCCAAATAGTTTTTACAAATCCAATAACTGCTCTCCTTAGGGTTCAGTTTGAAATGTTCAAAAAATAAACTCAGAAGTCTCCCTCCAGCCTTAAACTGGGCACAGCTCCCAAGTTCTCTGCTGCCTCAGCATCTTCCCTGCTTTACAAGGCTATTCTCAGCCTTCCCCTCTCCCAGTTGTGTGCTCCTGCTTTCTTTTGAGTGTTTGTTCATCCATTCTCACAGGCCTTCCCAGTTATCTCACTCCCCAAGTATCATTTTTTTCTGCTGGAGCCTACTCATTTCCAGCAGCCTATATGGATATATCTTTTCTGCTTCTGGGAGTGAGCCTCCCAGCCCAGTTCTACAGACTTGGGGCTTATGCTATCCCAAGCTCCAGCCCAGCTCAAGTTCCAATGTCTACACAGTTATTTTAGGCACACTAGCATGAGTCTGACAACTTGGCTGGGAGACTCAGTCCCAGATACAGTGTAGACATATCCTATATTTTACTCTGTTCTCCCTGAGATCTCTCTCTGCAGGGCCAGCAGCTGGGCTTCTTCCTGCTGCTCTTATAGGGTAATCAGGTTATTCCTTCTCAATTGTGCCTCCTGGTTGGCTGGCCCCAGGCCTCTAGCTCGTAAGGGGCAAGATACCCTGTTAAATTTACAGAAAGTTCTTCATATAGCTTTACGTATCGGTCTTCTGTAATATAAATAGACTATGTTGTGAAGTGGTTAATTGTCTTATTCACTCCCAAACTGGTTGCAGATTTGAATCAAGTGAAATAGAAGTACTTACTACATTCAAGAGAGTTAAAACATCTTGTATTTGCAATCTATAAAATCACAAGGAAGATTTGATACTTGGGAGAGCATCGAACTTTGATCACATATGCATTATTAAACAGCAACATTTTGTGTTCGGTATGGGAATTGGATACCCTGAGAGCCTTCTGGGGGTTCACAATGTTTTCTAAAGTATCCAATATGCTGTCATATATGATTGATTGATATCACATACAGGTGTGTTCCTAGCTCATTTAAGACGGTAAAATACACACACACAATTTGAATAAAAATGATTGAAGTTGAGTGGTGAGAGAATATTATAAATCTGTCAAGTACCAGTGAGTAGCTGTTTTCATATATACATTTCAAAATGCACATTTTAGTAGTGTAGCAGGTGTGCACAATTTGGTGTATAGCAGATTAATCTGGTTTTGGTAGCCTGCATGATTCTGTAGCAAATAATAATTTCTTCAGTATTTTTCTAAAGTGGCACTCCTGAATCTAGAACCTTACAACCAGGTGGTTGACAGACTAGTCTCACCATGTCTTAGAATAGTGACAACAATCCCACGTCCCCTCCCTTTTCTACCCCCTGCAAGTTTACAGAAAGTAGATGAAGAAAAAAGAAAAGAGAAATGTGTTAGAAAATCGAAAAAGGGGGAGAAAGAAAAGCAAAAACAGGGGAAGAGAATAACTCATCAGTTCTGCACATAAACCTAAGGCCTTTAGAAGTGATTTTTAAATACTCTCCATGAAACTCCTGTCATGACAACTGCTGTGGTTTTTACTAGTGGTGAATGTAAACTCTTGGATTAAAACTGATGTGTTGTTAGGGTTTTACTCTTTGCTGCACCATCCCTTTCACGTCCAAAGTGTGCTGCCCTTTCTCCCTCCTAAATTCCATCCCATTCAAGGGGTAACACTCAACAGAATGACCAGATAGCAAGTGTGAAAAATCAGAAGGGGGGGAGAGGCAATGGGGGAGGGTAATAGGTGCCTATGTAAGACAAAGCTCCTAACATCAGGATGGTCCTGATAATATTGGGATGTCTGGTCTCCCTAACACTCAGTCTGGCCCACTTCATATAAAAGTATTCAGCATGCATTAATTAAGAATTTGACATTTTTGTTCCCCAGTGGCCCCTTTTCTGTCTGTGAAATGATGGGCCTGACTAGTTGTCACGGTTTCACAGGTCTGGAGCTCTGGAACAGCCCTCCTTGAGGGTTGCACTCTCTATCGGAGGTAAGTCCCTTGGCTTCACTGTCTCCTGGGACCGAACCTCAAAGCCTTCAGCGCCCCTGCATCATGCCATGAGCTCCCCTCAGAGAGTCCATTCGAACTGGGCACCGGGGAAGGCTTGCATGACCAAAGGGAGCAATGCACCCCGACTTCCTTTGACTGGAGTGACTCTCGAGGCAACGTTGTAAAAGCAGAAGGGATTTTTAACTGTCTGGAACACAGTGTAGAAAGTTCTTAGGTCAGCATAGAGAATGGAAAAGAAACAGCAAAGTCCATCTGGGTGGGTACTGAGCCCAGAGTCTCTCCTTTCTGCCCTCTTCTGTGTCCTTGCCCCGAAGCGTGTGACCTGCTTCAGCAGCCTACACTGTACTATCC